CTGTGTCAGTACATTTGTTTGTGGGGGTGTATGTTAGAGTGGGAAACTTACATTACATTCACTGCTGGATCTTACATTCTTTAGGCATGGGCTTTATGAAAATTGGAGATATGAAAAAAAATGTGCCTGCCAGGTGTTTATTGATATTCCTTTTAAATATAGCCAGGTTCATTTCTTACTAGGGTGAATTGGGATCAAATATTCTTTAAAACCTGACCAATGAAAATGAAAACATGGCACAAAACTCAAGGAAACTCTCCTAAAAAAAAAAAAAAAAAAAAAAAAAAACACATTAAATTTATATACTTTTCCAATTTGTTCCTTATTCTATCACTGCCAGTTTTTAATCAATATTTGATCCACAGACAAAATTATATTATATATATATATAAACTCCCATCAATTTTGATGTATGAGAATCTGAAAACGTTATTCAATGACCCCTCAAGCCCTACTAGTGACTTGCATACAAGTCCACATATCGTACAACAGCAAGGCTCTAGGTTGGTCTGAACAACTTTTTGTCCTTCTCCTAGACATGATGCAACCCAAGGCTATAGAACCCATAGATTTAGAGAAGAAATAGATTCATACCTTTCCCAAGTGTAAGTGAATGCAATAAATTCAAACTCAGTTGTTTGATTTCTCAAACCAAGCTACAATCCATTACTCCACTGTGCATCCTAATGTGTGCGTGTGTGGGAGAAGATATTTGCTTTTATATATGCGGAAGAACTAAGTGTTAGAATAGGAAATTTTCTGAGGAGTATTGGTTTGAAAAAGAATTGAATATATTATTCACTTGTAAACATACAATGCCACCCTCACCTAAGCTTTCTATCAATCAGTCAATGATTACGTTGCATTTCAATTCTCAATCTTGTCAGTGTGCACTGAGAGCTGTGAAAGATATCACAAGATAACAAGATGAAAGACAAATACTACACTAAGAAATAAGAACGCAAACGTTGTCTCCCCTGAAATGTTTTCCATTATGAAATGGATGTTTTATTCAGGACTTCACTTGTTCTTCTGGGTAGGTACAACTTCTTCATAGTTTGTCAAACAACCTAGCTCTTCCTCCCTGCTAACATCTTGTCCATTTACTCACCCTGACATGGTGGCTGGTAATACAAATGGATGATAAAGAGTAGACCAGAACTCTCCATGATCCCAAGTATGACTTAATATAAACCAGCACTGAGATATCAGTTTCCAAGTTGCCACTTGATCTCTAAAAAAAAAAAAAAAAAACCCCAATCATCCATCCCTTTACATTTGCATTACATTTGTCAAAGTGGATACCACTTAGAAGACCAAACTTCAAAAAGCTGGTCTATCAAACAAACACTTGACGTTGAGATAAAAACTTCCCTTTCTATGTGAGTGTTCATAGTATCACACACTTACTTAACTGACTTCTGTTCTCCTTTTCTTCCTCGTCTCTCAGGTATTGAGTGAGAGATTTGCGATCATTTATATGTTCAAAAGGACTTCCTGGAAAGAGTAAAAACAATGTCTCATACAGAAGAACAATAACTCACAAAAGCAACACCCAAACACAGAACAGATAGTTTAGTCTGTCTTGAAAGAATACAAAATTTTCTCAGCAGATAAAATGGTTAGATTGGATTTCAGTTCAGGAGAAACAGTAAATTTTAACATAAGTTATAGACATTCATTTTAAACCTGAAATGAGCACATATAGGATAAGTACAGAACATCAAGTTCAAAGACTACAGTCCAACTGCTTCTGTGATAATACTTACGCCATATATAATACCAAGCAAAAGACAAATCCTCACCAAGACACATATATATGACTAACGGAATAAAATAAAATTCATGTGTTTCACTCACAAGCTATTGAATTACCTTCAAAGGTGTAATAGAAATAAGAGATGGGTAGGTAGGTATTTTACTGAAGTAGAAAAGAAACCTTGAGAGTAAGAGAAATATTGGAAATCAACCCACCAGAGGTGTTCAAAGTTGAGATTATGTGCCTTGAGCGTAATCCACTTCTGTTTGGAGAATCATAGTGGGTAGAATCATTCAAATAACTTGAGGCATTCAGACTTTGGTTCTGAAAAGGTACAAGATAGAAAGAAAAAAAATTAAACCATTAATAAATAAAAGAAAATTAAAAATAAGACTGCTGTGGATAAAAAAACAAAAACAAACTAAGAAATGCCTTGAATTAAAAATAAGACAGAAAAGGACAAATAGTAAAAAATTGTGAATTTTGATATTAGCTTTATTTTCAAAGATTTTTGTTTGAAAAAAATGATTCCTAAAATGAACAAAAAACTTTCTTGGAAAAAGAAAATAAATGTATGGTTTAGTGAGTCTAATCAAGTCAACATCAAACTGACTACCAGAATAATTTTATCCCAAAGTATGTTTGAAATGTAACTAAAAAAAATACTTACAGCACTTTCTGTTGACAAGTAAGAAGGTGAAGACTGATTGCTGCCATATCGATAACTGTATGATCCATTTGGCATAGATGTGTGAAAGCTTGTTGATCCTGGACTGGACACTGTACTGGGGTAGAGGGGAGAAGAACCAGGGCTGATTCCACTTTTGTTTCCAGTGCTTGGAGTGTAATACATTGATGACCCTGCACCAGGTGGGGTATGGCTGCCTGGGTAACTATGAGATTGACTGGCAGGACTACAGCTGAAAGAAAGCTGAATGGGTGATGTAGAGACTGCAGGCTTCACTGGAGAAATTTTGAAACCAGGATCTAAGACAACAACAAAAAAAAATCTATTGTAATCATTTAAATCTTATACAGGGAATGTATTTTCAAGCAGAAAATAATGAGCCCCACCCAAGGGATATGAACTTAAGTAGCTTCAATAGTCCTCATTGCATGAGTGAGTGATGGAGACATTTGCTGGCACTATTAGTACTAGAAAGAAATATACATACAATCAACAATTTAAACAGCAATTTTTTTTTTTTTTTTTTTTTTTTTTAAAAACAGGGTGCATAAGGTATTTGAGGACATGTGATTGTTCACCTGAAGTGTATGTGTATCAGTGGCAGACTATCAGCTAAGGCTCGAGATGAAACGACATGCTAGAATTGTTGAGATACATGCAGGGAACAGTTATGTTTAGAGTGCATGTTTATTGGAAATCTTTTGTACACAAAATCCAGAAGGAGTTAGAAGTCCCCAGCAGGGATGTGTCGCCTGTAGTGAAGCACAAAAAGGCATTCACACTGTATCAGTATACCACAATTTGTACAAGAGGTGCAGAACATTATCAATGTAATTCCCAGAACATCCACAAGGGCCATTTCCAGAGATCTCCAGGTGTCCAATGACACAATCCTTAATGTAGTGCATGAGGACATTCAGTACAAGTCATACATAAATGAGATAAAGGGCAGTACATTCCTGCAAACACAAGAACAATGCTTGCTCTGAACAAAATTACTGAACAAGTTGAAATATTCAGAACAATCTAGCAGGCTTTGTCCCTGCCTGCCAGGATCAAATGACAGGTGGTTATGTGCAGATCATTCTGATGTGCACCAGGTTATATTACACAAAGTTTCCCCACTTGTGGTGGTTTTATAGGGTGGTGAGTAGTAAAGAAAATGTCATGCCTTTCCACTTCTTTCAACAGAGTCTTCAGTTGAATGTTGTTGCCTACACTGAGATGCTGGAAACCGTTGCAAAGCCCTGGATAGATTCTGTATGCAACAGATGTATGTATTTCAGCAGGACTCTGCAGTTGTTCATAAAGCTGTGGTGACCTAAGATTGGATGATGGCCACATCACACCAGACCTAAATCCATGTGGAGTGTCATTAAGATAAATCAACGTTACCACAATATGACTAAAACCCTGAAGGCTGGCATTAACCGTGTAATGTGATGTGTGTAAGTCAATAATTCCGGTTCAGCAGTGAAGCCATCATTATGGCTGAAGACGGTTACATCGAACAAGTATTTAATCCAACCATTACTACATCTGTGTACAAAGTTTTGCATCAAATTTAGTTGTTTGTAAGATGTGGTTGTTTTTCTTATAGTCTTCAATAATGCCCTAAATACTTTATACCCCCGCTGCAGTAAGTTCATTGCCTTTTGAAATTATGTCTCAAGACCAAAGCAATTTGTATAGATGAATGGCTTTGCTCAGGACATATTTAATGATGAATAGAAAGTAATGTATGGTACACAGCCACAAGTATGAGTAACAGTTATAACCAAATTCATTCCAGTTATGATATTGGTGACAAGCTTGTTAATTACTGCCCCATGGCAAAAATTAATCCTACCACCAAATAAAATAAACAGCCTGATCTGGCACAAAGCTAAAGTATTTGAGCATCAATCAAGTATTAAACTTATTTATGTTAATCATTATGCTATGGCTGGGGCCATAAATTAATGCATTTATAGTTTATAACTTTGCAAAGAAGGTTGGTTGGCGATTTTGTTTTACAGCTTATTAACCCCTCACAGGTCATTTAAAGCAGATATTTTCTTATACTTCATAAAATTAATCCCTCCCCCCCAGTGTCATATGGCATCAACTATTTATTAACTCCCTTGTCTCTTATAGTTTCAGCTATTTTTTCTAAATCATATGGTATCAATTACTTTGATTGGTTTAGATATCAGGTTTTTTTTTTTTTTAAACTGTTAGTTTTATATTTTTTGACATCTGGACATAAGTCTGTTAGCAGCAGAAAATTTCATTAAAATTTGCTTTTAACCCACAATTCTATTGAAGAACTTTGTGTACCAGAGTTGATTAAGTATGTGTAGGTTTTGAATTTTGCTGGATTTTTATGCTCTTTTATTGTGTATTAAGTAATCTATATTTCCCTTCCATTGTAAGATTTTTGTTTTAAGTTATGCCATTTTGTTTATGATGTATTGAGGGTTTAGAATCCATTTGAATTTCCATTTGTTCAAATTTTTCAGATTTCTCCTTTGACCTTGTTTGGCTATTTTGGGTTGGGTTTTGTTTTTCTCTTGTCTTTGAGATAGGTCTGTCTTTTCTTATGAATTTGTGTTTTGTTCTTTTCCTCAGTTATTGGGTTATGGTTTAATTTGGTAGTGAGAGATATTTCTATATTTGTTATGCTGGTTTTTAAGGCTTTAATGAGATTTTGCAATTCATTTATTAATAGTGTTGATTGTGTCTGTTTTGTCAGGCTATTTCCCAGTTTGTTTTTTTTGTGGTGTTTTGGTGATTTTTTGCATAATTTTGTAGAAAGAGGTTTCTATAATTTTTCTTGCCTCTGGAAATGTAATGTCTTTAGTGATTTTCATTCTTATTTGTTTTTCTTTTTTCAGGTCTTGCATTCTTCAGCAAGGTGCAGTAAGTGTATTCTGAAGATCCAGCTGACAAGGCAGTTGCAAGAAAGGAATGCAGAGTTGTCTATAAACAAACTTAATTAGAGCTAAAGTAGCATATTTCTGAACAAAATTTTGTTCTCTTAATTTAGAATGGAGTGTGAAGCATTGTTTAATAACTGGAAAAAAAAAAAAAAAAAAAAAATCATTTGTCATTAATATTTCAAACTAAAAAGGTGAAATTTGAAATAATTGCAAGATTAAACCTTTTCCTAATTCAAAATTTTCAAAGCCTCAAACAAAAATGCGTCAGAATAGATTATGTTTCGTGACAAAGAATAAATAAAATTTGGAAACAGTTACCAGTATCTTTGACTCCCAGCAGCTTTTTCTGTGTTGGGGTAAGATCAATGTGTCCAGTCATAATATATGGCCATACCCAACATGTCAGGTCAACCAAAGAATTGAAGCAGAACAGCAAAAAGAAAGCCACCTCTTTGGGAATAAAAAAAAAAATACACTTGTTGAAGAGACATTATAGAAAATTTAGTAGATCACAACTTTTATCAAGAATTGAAGATTTTCTGTGAAAATTTAATAAAAACAAATGTCATAAGCAGGATTACTTTTCATTTAATTGCTAAAACAGGATTTATTGAAAAATAAAAATCAGCTCTTTTCCTTTTCAAAAAAAGAATTTTACTATGGTAAAAGCATTACTCCCTTTACACACACACATATATATATAATTATTTGTGTTTGTGTAAAATAAAAAGAAAAAGCAATAAGAGCTTCCAACTCGTGCATAAATTACAAACAGTATAAAGATAACGAAAAATGAGAAAAGTGAACTGCTGAAACTACTTGGCAGATGGACTAAACAATTACAAAAAGGGTTTGTCTACAAAACACCAGAGTTGAGTTGCTGAATATAAATAAAATAGGTACCTCCATGAGATCGCTAAAAAAAAAAAAAAAAAAAAAAAAAAAAGCATAGCTTGATGAAAAAGACACCAAACTTGACAAAAACAAAATTTTATCATCTAAATGTTTATGTTATTAAGAGGAAAGATCAAAGCTTTAATTATTTTTTAAAATTTTTCCTTTAAGAAAATTCTAAAGTCATGGCAGAAACATTTTTTTTATATTTATTACCTCCATTACTAATTAAAACTCTAGAAATTCGATCGAATCTAGTTTAGTAATTACAATAGTTAAAAGCACAAAGCTTTGAGGAATGCAAATCATTTTTTTTTTTTTTTTAATTGGACCCTCCTACCTGAAAATCAGCTCTGAATTGTAACATACAAAACTCAATAGAACAAAGATATTATTTAATTTCAAATGCTTTTATTTGCTTTTAGTTGTTTTTAAACAATATTTTCTGAAAGCAAAAAATTTTTTTTGATGAAAAATGAATTTTTTTAATACACTTATTTGTTATTTCTTTAATTATAATAGATTTCTACATTTAAGTTGTTAAAATATTATAAAATTAGTTAAAAGCTGCATCAGGTTTCCTAAGTGTCCTTATGAGATAGATCTTTTTTTTTAGCACATTTTAAATTGTATTGTTTTGACTAATCAGAAGATCTGCAGTAATTAAGAAATGTAATTTTGTGTTTATAATTGGGCTGTAATTATAAAGTATGGAAGACCAACCAGAATACAATTAAGTTGCGTTATTTGAGTTAAGCATTGTTCTCCACTGTTAAGGCCTTTACTTTTGTGAAAGTGTGAAGAAGTTAATTTGATTTTTCAATTTCAACTGAGAAGGGTACCTACAAGTATCAATATCATCTTATGAAATTTATATGATCTTATTTTTATATTAATTTCAGTTATGACATTTTTCCATAAATGAAAAATCAAAATTAATAAAATGAATGGAAATACAAATAACACAGTAAAATGTAATAAATGTACATAAAATTATAGTATTTCATGTACACTTCTGATAAAATTTCATAAGAAAGGTACCTATAAATTAATTAGATACCTTTCTTATGAAATTTAATCTCACTGTTAACAATCTTATTTTCAATTTCTTTATAATATATTTTTCATAAAGTATCGTAAACGTAAAGGTGAAAGCTAAGTAAAAAAAAAAAAAAAGGTAGAGTGCTGAAAGTTTTCCTTAAAAATAACAAGGTAAATAATTTGTCCATTTAAATCTAAATAACTTCACTTCTCTCCATCTGTAGAAAGAATTATCCTCACGTAAGCTATCTAAATGTCATGAAAATGTCATTCGTCACTTGTCAAGTGACGTGAAAGGTTATAACCTGCATTATTTTATTTTCAAATTACATCTTTCCGGCGCAGAAGCTAAGTTAAGCTTGGTTCAAAATATTTTAAATAAACATTATAATTTCTGATTTTCTTAAAATAAGTTTTGAAAAAATTATAACTGATTTTTAAAAAAAATTTCAAAGTGAGATTTTCATTTTTTTAATAAAATGGAAAAAAAGGGTTGCCAGGATTATCTGCCAATTTTGATGAAAAAAAAAAAAAAAAAAAAAAAATCTTTCTTCTTAATGACTTGAACATTTAGACCATAAAATTTTGTTTGTCAAGTTTGGCGTCTTTTTCATCATGCTATGCTCTTTTTTTTAGCAATCTCATGGAGTGACCTAGAATAACAGCCAGCTAAGTGACAAAATTTGTCTTAATCGTGTGCACGCATATATATATATATATATATATATATAAAGAAACCTCATATTTTGAGCTCTTTGGATTTGAAATTATACATCCAAAATAAAATTAAAAATAGGATAGAAAAATAAACTATTCAAAAAAATAAGACATAATGGGAATTGTAAATGTGGTCTGGTCAGACTTTGTAAAGCGAATTTACAATAAATATATCCTTAACCCCCCCCCTCCAAACAGTAAATTGTTATGCAGTGGAGATGCTGTTAAAGCTAGTTCAACTGTTTTTATTTCTTTTTTTAAAAAAGGAAATGTAAGGGAAATAATTATGTAGGCGTGAGATGCACAACCCATTTGGATTAGTGAACTTAATACCTCTATTAGTATTATTTGCCAATACAGTAGAACCTTGGTTTAATGTCCCTCTATTTAAGGAATATCGGATTTAAGGAACCACTTGTGGTTCACATTGGCCATAATGAATTGATTTTTTAAAATTTTTACTGAAAAGATAACTATTAGAACAAGTCATTCATAAAATCCATGTTATGCTACTAGGTACATGCCAAACTTATTAGCTATAAAAATAATCTTACCAATTTCAACTATTTTTAAAGACAGTTTTCATAAAACAAACCCTATTTGGCAACAGTGTGAGACAGATTCTTCAATATTTCAGTTTGTTTACTGTGTAGTCAAGGTCTACAGAACTTAGTTATTCTTTACAAAATGAAAGCTTTAAGGAAAATATTCTCCCCACCAATTCTTCAAATTGCAGTTTTACGGTAATCAAATTTTCAAAATCTACTTACCTGTATACCATAGTGCTGGATAGGAAACCTCAAAATACTGCTGAATTGTCAAATATCGTCTGCAGTACAAAAAATAAAGATTAGATAATGGCATAATCAACTTTAATTAAAAAGAATTATCAAATATAAATATTCATACAGAAAAATAAGAGTATTACTGACATGTCCATGTACAGCACAAAAGCTGTAACAACATTGAGAGCAGCCCAGAATAAAGAGTATTGGGAAGATCTCCATTGTCTTTGTCTTTTGAAAACCAAATTGATGAGTGGAGATGAAACAATTTTTGACATTTCTGAAACACAAAGAAAAATCAAAAATAAAGTCTATACTTGCAGTAAAACAGTTTTCAAAATTATTTTGAAAAGAAAAAAATTATTTTGAAAAGAAAAAAAAATTCCAATGGCATAAAAAGAATTTAAAATATTTAAAGTAAACAGTACCAATTTTTTGTTATAATCTTTAAAATAAATGAGCCTTTATTTTTTTTCATAGTCAGCAAAAATAGGCCAAGATCTGCAATTATCAAAACAAAACTCCATTCTGTAATAATGAAAGAGGTTTATTTGCCACCCCATGGTGACAAGATCTTTTTGATGTAGAGCTGCTCTTGGCTAATCCAAAAATTACGCAGTCCCTGTGACGCTGGTGTTATGTCAATATTTCACCAACCCTCCCTCTTTTAGTGTAATGAGGGAGGTGCTACCACGGGCATATTCTCTTACAAAATTAGGAGAATAGATACTATAAGTTAATACTAGCCAAAAATAATGAAAATGAAATAGAAAAAAATTTTTTTTTAGATTAACTATATTTGATAGAAGAAAATCATTGTCGATGGGCAACACCTAGTAATCAAAACAATTCCATTCTTACTAATAAATCTTGTTTGGGAGAAATTTAACCATGTAAATGTGGCTCAATGGAAGAAGACTCACTTGTAAAATTCAATATGGCTGAAAACAAACTAGTAACATTGCATCATTACAGAGCGGATCTTGAACTTTCACCTATCATGATGGATGGGTCTTCTCTCAAGGAAGCCCCTTGCCTTGAACATCTACTGGGACAAGCTCTCTCCAAACCTCAAGTGCAACTTATATCTGATCTATTGCTAATGATACTGGAAAAATGGTGGGTTCCTTGTACTGCTCAAGTATCTGACTTTTCCTGTTATATTCTATCTTTACAAAAGCCGAATCAAACCAAAAATGAAGCATTGCCGAGTTCAAAATCATCTATGTAGCCTTCTGAGTGATTAATTATTTTCCACTTTACAGCTTCTTTCCAACAGATGTCATGAGCCTTACTGCTCTATCACTATTTCCATGGCATATATTCTGATGTGCTACATTCCTTCTTAACCTTTACAATTGGGACCCACCATGCCATGTACACAAGTAGGAATCATCCCCAATCCCTTTGTATTCCATTAGGGAGTAAATTCCATTTGGACAGCTTCTTTCCAAGAACTGGAATGTTTTTCCAATCACTACAATCTTGACTTCAATTAACTGTTATCTTTCACTTCTTGCCTTTTCTTATGCTCATATGATACCCACACAGTAACCATCTACCTTGAGTGGCTATTGGGTCTCGCATTAGGTGAATATTAGTATAAAAAAAGTTCAATGATTAAATTGGAATCAAATCATTTTATCTGCCATTATTTAAATCTATAATAATTGGTTTTGTTCAAAATGTGAACGTTTTTATTTTCTATAAGTTACATTTACACTCCTCAAAAATACATGGTTTTATATTTAAAAAATACTAAAAATAAAATAAAAAATAATATAAACAGGAAATTAGTTAATGCAGACACAGCTAAGAAATTCATATAACTTGACAATTATAATTTTTTTTTTATTTATTTTTGTAAACTAAAGAAAAAGGTACATTTTTTTTTTACTTACACCCGTCTCCCTTATCAACCACATGCATGCATGATTAATTCCACCCTTACTTCACTGTCATTGGCTAGTTGAATACTTACTGAGCACAAAATAATAGTCAGGGATGAGACGGGTTTAATAAAATAATACCTAATTAAATAAGAGTTTAATATAAAATGCATCAATAGTACTATTTACCATAAGTGTGGCTGGGTAGTGTCGATTTTACTGCTGTAGTGTAAACAATGCCTTCAGAGAAAACAGTGAATTATCTCCCTTACTCATAGTTGAATTTGAAAATAGCGTCCAAAATGTAATAAATGTTTTTCGTAAGTAAACTCACATTTAGAAATATAGGCATGCATCATCGAGAGAAAAAACACTTTGGAAAAATCAATGTAGAATAAATTTTTTTCGACATCAATTGCTATAAATAAATTATATTGCATTTCAAAATATTTTTTTTAGTTCTTACTTCCCATAACTTTTCAAATCGAAAGGAGCATTTCAGAACTCAAGCTTCAGTGAGTAAGGAAATGTAACGGAAGTAATTCGTGTTAGTGTTATGATATACGAAAATTCAGGGCGGTAAAAAAAAGAAAAAAAAATATATCAGCAATATCCAATTTCCAAACAAACATCTCATTTGTTGAGAATCGTGGTTATGTTCTAAGGTAAAAATTTAGGCAGAGGAACATCTTTTCCCCTCTATCACTAAATTTTTAAGAATACTTTTAATTTAGTGAATGAAAAAAAAAAAGTTAAATTAAGCCTGTGGCGGAACTTGAAAAATGAACAATAAAGTTTTTGTTTATGTGCTGATGTTTAAAAGTTATAATTACTTGCATAAAAAAAAGCATTTTGTTTTTAATAACCTGATTCCAAAAATTACCAACAGGTATTTCAATAATTTCATTAATTTTTGTTTTTCGCGACTTGTGTATAAAAAAATCGTTATAGTTTCTTTGTCAACTTGCTTAGGCTGTGAGGCATGTTGAAATTTCGTAATGTTAGCTTATATAGGGGGTACTGAATTAAAAACCTAAATACCGGTAAAATTACTTTTATAAAGATTGTATATGAAGGCCTTTCTTTTTTGCCACTATGGGAGAAAATGACAACTAACATCCAGAAAACTGAGAAAACCTTTCCAACCTAAACTAGAAAAGTTTTAAACTCACGACATTGGAGTAACGAGTAGAAAATTAATAAAGCTTCAATGTTTAACTAACAATAAAAAAGTTATATCGTTTACAGACACATGCAATGCAAAAAATTTGAAGTTCAGAAACCAGAGTTAGTCATTCAATCGTAATAATAGCACAAAGTCTTTTTGCGAAGGGGGACAATTTTTTGAAAAAAAAATTAAAATAAAAAAAACACATTCTAACTTTTCTATTTTGATAAGATGTGTAGCTTTTGATAACTTTTTAAAGTTAAAGTATTTTTATCGGCTCAGCTCAGAGATTGTGCATTTACAAGTTTATATTAAAAAAATGTAAATTTAAGAGGTAAATAGCAAAGTAAAAGTCAAAATTTTAAAAACTTATTTTTTTTAATTTAGAGAGAAAAATTCAAAACATTTAAAATGACTTAAAAAATAAAGAATCTATATTCAAATAAAAATTCAAGGAAACCTGAATTTCTTTTAATTTGTCTGTCCCTAAAAAAAAAAAGAAAAGAAGTGTAGTGTACTGTACCTGTTTCAAGTAAAATAAAACTCTAAAATTCTCGAATTAAGGAATAATTTTAAAAATTACTATTGCATTTATAAAAGAAAGTTGAAGCTTTAAATTCAGCTTTCACAAAAAGCATGAAATTTGGATTATTTTTATAACGTTTCTTTCCAAGTAGCACGTTGTTTCATGCGATTTGTCAAGTGTCGCAACTTTCAGTTTCATCAAAAAAAAAAAAGAAGCACGCTTAGCGCCAACCGGAAATAATGGTTATAAAGTCGCATAAAATAATAAAAAAATAATAACCTGAATGGTACAAATTAAAGTAATAATAATAAAGAAACAATAAAAGTATTTTTTCTCGTAATATTAATCAGATTTACTTCCCTAATAGGTCTTTTTTTTTTTTTTCCTTGTATTTATTCTGAACTGGCGGAAGTTTTTGTTTTCTCCGTTCCTATTATAGCTACATTTTTCAAACTAAGCCGGGTTATGAAAGATGGCAGATGATCAAGAACAGGTTAAGTTTATCTTTTTACATTTAATAAAAGTTTTGATCTTACACGCGTGACATCTTAAATATAATTTATTACCGTTTTGTAAACAATTTTCTTTTTATTAAATAAGGGATAAAAATTAAGTTTTGCAATGTGTTATGTTTTAAATGTCTAGTGAAGTCAGAAGTCAGGTCTGGTAACATAAAACACGTGTTTTGTATAAATTTTACCGCGCTTTTTTTGCTATAATTAAAAAAAATTGGCCTTAATTTTATTTAATGATAATGAATTTATATTTATTTGCCACTCTACTGAATAAGTTATTTATATTTTTCAACTGAAATTTTTTTTCCTGCAAATGTCAACAGCTACTAATTGCTACTCCATTCTTCAATCAATGTTTGGTCATTTTTTTTTTTTAAATTAATTGAAAACCTGAAGTTGTGTCGCTAAAAAGAAATAACTCATTACGTTTACTTCTTTAATAGGCGAGGGTAACTTATTAGAAACTTTTGTAACTCATGTTTACTTTATTTCATTTGTGTATAAAATGTTTTAAAAAAGTTAAAGAGAAACTAACAAATTTTTATTGATTTATCAGCAGAAAGTGCGATACACATAAACGTTTATTTAAAAATAAGACTGTCATTTCTTTTTTTAATAAAGACAACCTAAAAACTGCTCCAGACAAAAAATTATACACAACACAACAGTAATGACTAGATCATTTTGTGCATTGAAATTAACGAAAGCATTCGAAGAATGCTATTGGAAACATGAAATAATAAAATTTTGTTTTATTTTCTTTACTAATAACCTGGTACATCCTGTTGGGATACAGTAGTAACGTGGGACTTTCTTTATGGGTTAAAAATGAACAGTTAAAATAAATAATTTACGTACGTCAAGAAGATTAATAAAGGATTATAGGAAACACGGGTAATTTTAACAAAACAAGGAATATATTTACACTACAGTACACACATGAAGTTGCGTCAGTATCTCGTTTCAGGTAAATAAATCAGAAATTTTTAAAGTCCGTAGTTTTAACGAATTGTCATGAAGAGGAAATTTTCATACAACAAATTAAGTGATCTAACACTAAATAATATTCAAAAATGTCAAACAAGTTCGTTGCTTAGAGAAGGTTGCAGACATTACGTAGAAAGATAGTTTATATTTAAATACTTAGCTTTCTTGGACTGTTATAAGAAAGTTCTTTGAAGTGCTACGTGCTTGGTTAAAATGCCGATAGTATAATTGGTGACTAATTAATTTTTTCCCCATTTTATATCAAAAGGAATTTCACATAGGCTTCCTATTTTTCTTTCTTCTCTTGGCTCAGTGGCTATGTGTGAAGGTAAGGTTTTCATTGGTCCAAAAGCAATTTCACATAGGTTCGTGAATTTATTTCTGTCTTTTTCTCAGCTTGCCTGTCAATCTGTGTGAAGGCAAGGTTTTCATTGGTTCAAAGAAAATTTCATTTAGGCTTGTAAATTCCTTTCCATTTTTTGTCTCAGGCCTCCAAATTTGAAGTGAGTAAAGGGAACTACTATTTCACAGTCACCACAGTACCACCAATATAGCATTGCTGCTAATAAAAAAACCTGCAAATTTGCCTTTACTTTTCTGAAACATTTTCTCTGTGATCTTCCTTGGTCATTCAGCTACCCTTTAAATCTCATCAGAGTTGTTTTGACTTCAAGGCACACAGCAAATTAGTGATTTCTCATCTTCAGTATTTCTTATCCATTCTCTCCAGATCTCCCTCACAAAAGTGTTGCAGGTCTTTGAATCTCTTCAAAGTTTTTACAAGGAATGGTGAAATGTTTGGCATTTTTATAGTAATGCAAGGCTGGTGCAAGTGTCTTGTGACTCCCCATTCAGCTACATTTTAATTTTCATAAGGTAGTATTCATATAAGATATAAATTTTATTGCAACCTAATTATGTAATTATACAATAATGGATCAAATTTATATGCATTATAGGTGAACAATTCAACTAGAAAAATTTAAAATAAGGAGGTATCTAAATACAAATTAGAGACATGTCATAATAGATTATTCCATCTTAAATCAACAATATTTTGTAGCAATTTTTACCATCCACTTGAGATTTTTCTTGTTACAAACTTGAATAATTTTAACACATTCAACGTTATGGATAAAAATAGTGGATTTTATGTAGTGTTTTTTGAGACTTAATATGAGCAAAACAAATTCACAGATATGTATGGAAAAAAAATAAGACCCTCAGAATGTCATTAAAATTTGCAAAAAATTTTCATCCTTAAATAGTTGGTTGTGCTTAGTTTAATTTGTAGCATATATAAATGTAGGTAGAAAAAAAAAAACAAATGTTCGTAAGATAGCGAGGGTCACAAAGCATTGCCCAGAGCTCCCAATCAGTACCCCTCTTCCAATTGGTGGGGTTCAGAGATACTATGTGCCAGATCTGTAGTTGTCTACCCATAAACTTCAAAACACCATATAATTACTTCCCCCACTCATTAAAAATATACATTATGATATTTAAATTGAAGTCTGGAAACTATTGTGTTTTCCGTCATAAAAGTCAGCATCAATAAAGATGTTTCCAAGAACCAATTTTAACATGACATAAATCTGTGGCAATTTAATGTAAAAAAAATAAGATTTTGAATTTTGGGTCCAACATGAGCTCTGCAAAGTAATCATCTACCATATGATGCATTGGTTTGATTTTTTATTTGCAATATAGTTTCACATGATTTGTTAAGAGTGGGGTGCAAAATTGTAATAACACCTGAAATTTACTGATAGTTTTTTTTGTATTGTCATTCAGTGTGTATACTATGGTTGTTTGAGGTCTTCTGTGAAAGTGTATTGCATTAGTATTCTTAAAGTAAAGCAGCATAGCTTCTCACAGCTCCCCATTATTGATTATTGCATGTGTGAAGGAAACTAGAAAGTTTTATGGCCAGCCACATGTGACTTTATCATGAATTTGGATGACTACTCACTGTTCCATAGTGTGCTGTACCAATTGTGTCATTGTGTTAGTCTCTATGGCTGTCTTCAGACCAATGCACTATCTCTATTTCTTAGTGAAAGTCAAATAAGTTGTTTTTTCACCAACAGAAAAGGTTTCTGGTAGTATTAAAAAGCACAGTGCATATGGTCTGTATTGGCTACTTTTATTGTTCTCCAGTAGAGAAACTTTGTTAACTACTTGTCAGTGATGTAGTGAATGAGAAAAACTCTCCTATCTTAGCACCTTACAGACCCATCTGTTCATTACCAAATGAAAAATGCTCACTTATGGATTTGGGAGGAAGAAACTCTTTTATTACAAGAAAATCTTGTTCTAACTAGTTCCTGATTTGTCAATTCATAAACCAATGAAAAGGCACTGCCTCATCTCGCTTTTTTCCCTGTATCCTTGCAGGCCTTGTGACTATCAACTGACCCTGTAAAATATATCATATTTAAAAAAATATGATATATTTCCAACAGTATGTGTGGCTGTTTATTAGTTAGATTTTTTTTTCTTAATCCTTAAGCTTTATTTTACACTCATAATGTTACAGATGTAGGAACCCCCACTTTAAAATATGACCAAGTGTCAGATTTTCCCTGATGTGAAAAAATTCAGAAAATCAACTGCATTGATTGATTAAAAACATTTTTCATTACTTTCAACATTCTGTACTTTCATGTTTGATGGACACTGTTTTTAAGTGGATTTTTTAGTTAACTTCTAAGTTAAAATTTTATCTTGAAATGTTCAATCATTGAGTCACTCTACAGGGTGTCCAAAAATGTGTACACACTTTGAATGTTTACTAAAACAATGCCCTTTAATATATTTCTAAGTTTTATAATTCAGATGTAAAATCATTTTGAGCTATTGAGTCAATTATGCTTGGTTTATATATATTTATAAACTTGTAAATATAAAATTATTCTTGTAAATAAACAATCTAATATAATAAAATTGTGTTTTTAATTCTTTTGTTGTCAATTCATAAGAAAAGAATGTAAAAATCGTATATTTGGGTTTTATTAAAATTCTAAAAATGGCTTTTTGAAAACAATAAAAAATCACTGAGGTAGTACTGAGTAATAGCGGTGTCAATAGAAAAACCTTCCTTTTTGATGCACCATTTTTTGCAGGTATAAATGTTAAACTTTGCCAGGTTTCTTGCATTTATTACAAATTTATGGATATTCTAATATTTGTGCATGGGCCATATAGAAGGGTCAGCTGAAAAGTTCATAGGCTGACCAAGATATAAATGCAAGTAGACACATATGTTGGTAGACTAAAAGACATGCAAGTGTACTAGAATAGCATACTGGTCAGCTGACTCTTATATCTCCTGAAAAATGTTAAGTCAGGAATGAGATTTACATATAACTATAAAGATATATATTACCGTAATTTCTCAAATAATATGCTTTTTTTTACTGTAAATAAAAGGTGATAATAGGGGTGCATATTATAAATAAGTTTAAACAAAAATATTTTTTCGTTATTGATTTGTAATAATAAATATGTACTTGTTTTAAAATAAGATATTATCTCAATTTTCATTTTAAATCCAACAATAATAATTGTAACATTTTTTTGTCAAATTTATGTTTCTGTAAATGCACTT